AATTTTTAGTTTGACATTTTTATAAGCAGCAGTGGCTACCAGTGACTCGACATAGCACTAACCATAACCACCAGTCTTACAGTAGAATAAATGAATGAAGCGGGCTATCTTCCATTCAAGTTTGTGTAAGTGACTCTGTGGCAGTAGCTAGGAAAGAGGAATTTTTTTATTTTAATTTTTACTGAACACACTTTCCATATAAGGATTTTCCTTCTATGAACACGTAACAAACAAAAAAATATATGTATATAATAATCTTTGAAAATCTTTAGGTGAATAGGTGATTCCAAGTTGGTGTTAAGTGGTAGGGTTAGCAGTAGACACAGCACTAACAGTAACCACAAGTCTTACATTAGTCTGAATGCAGCAGGCTAACAAGCTCATTACACTTGGAGATTAATCTTGGGACAAACTGCAGTTCTGCCGAATTCATAAACCCAAGTCAAAATGTATTTGAATCTGAATCAAAATCTGAATATAAAGTAACACTTTTAGGAATACAAATGATTAGGACAATGGCATCCTGACATTTCAGTGTTCCTCTGCTCCCCCCCCCACTGTTAATATATTGTGAAAAACACAGTTTTACGCTTTGCTGATTCCAATGTAACTTTACACATGGTTGGGCTCCCACTCCTTCGTCATTCGATGCAGGGAACCTAATGCACATGCACAGTGAATGTTGCACACTGCAAGCTTTATGCCTTTCCCCTAGGAAAGCATTGACTCCAGGGCTGTCTTTAACCTGGGTCAAACAGGGCACCTGACCAGGCCCAATTACTCCTGGGGGGCCCTCTGTCCACCCAAAAAAAAATGTATTTGCATTATGGGCCTGCCTGTGCTGCGGCTGCACCGGGGGCCCATGCACTAAGGGGGTCCATCGGGTGGCTAACAGTGCGACCAAGCCTTCTTGCTTTACTGCAGCCTGTGTGTGTGGGAGGAAGTGACTGCTGTGAGTCACTTCCTCCCAGAGAGAGTGACGCCGTGCAGTAGTGAGGAGGGGGCCATCAGGAGGGGTCTGGAGTGCCAGAGCCTCTCACTCCCATTTACCTCAGCCTGTCACAGGACCCCAGGGAAGTTACCCTCCTGAAGCCATAAGGTAGGAAACTGGAGGGTGGCTTTAAAACTGTAAAGTTTGCATGTGTGTCAGAATGTCTGTCTGTCTGTGTGTATTTGTGTTTCAGTATGTTTGTCTGTGTGCATGTGTCAGTGTGTCAATTAGTGTGTCAGTGTGTGTGCCAGTGTGGGTGATTATGTGCCAGTATGTCTGAGTGTGTGTCAGTATGTCTGTGTGTGTGTGTCAGCATGTCTGTGTGTGTGTGTCAGCATGTCTGTGTGTGTGTCAGTATGTCTGAGTGTATGTCAGTATGTCTGTCTGCGTGTCAGTATGTCTTTATGTGTCAGTATGTCTCTCAGTGTGTCTGTGTGTGTGTCAGCTTATGGCAGTATGTCTGTCTGTGTGTGTCAGAATGTATGTGTATGTCAGTATGCCTGTCAGTGCGTGTGTCTTGGTATGTCTGTGTGTGTCAGCATGTCTGTCAGGGTGTCTGTGCATGTCTGTCAGGGTGTCTGTGCATGTCACTGTCTGTGTGTGTCAGTATGTCTGTCTGTGTGTGTCAGCATGTCTGTATGTGTGTGTGTCACTATGTCTGTGTGTATCAGTATGTCTGTTTGTGTGTCATTGTGTCAGTATGTCTGTCTGTGTGTGTGTCACACAGAAATATTGAGACACACACTGACAGACATTCTGATACACATACAGACTGTGTATGTCTATCAGTGTTTGTCAGTATGCCTGTGTGTATATCAGTATGTCTGTCAGTGTGTGTCTCAATATGTCTGTGTGTCAGTATGTCTGTCAGTGTGTATGTCTATGTTGTCAGTATGTGTATCTGTGTGTATCAGAGTGTATATCTGTTTATCTGAATTTAGCCAGTATATTTAAGTTTCTCTATGTAGTCTCTGTGTATCTGTGCATTTGCATGTGTGTCATTGTGTGTATGTTTATGTGTGTAAGTGTTTGTATCTGTGTGCATGTGTATCTGCATGGTTGTCAGGTTGTGTATCTGTGTGTCTGTAGGTGTCAGTGTTTATATCTGTGTATCTGCACATGTTTCAGTGTGTGTATGTGTATCACAGTACGTGTGTGGCAGTGTATGTGTACATGTGCATACATCTCAGCATTCAAACACCAACACTACACATAAGTACATCCCTGCATTCAAAATTTAACACTACATACAAACACAGTCCTGCATTCAAATGCTAACTCCACATACAAACATACCCCGTTTAGAAAAACATAATCCATACAATAACATGCTGACATTCAAACACACAAACATTGCTCAGTACTAAATAAAACCCTGCAAGCATGGGAAAATGGTAGGGTGCCAGCTGTCAAAGCATTGTTGGAGTTGCATGACAGATGGCGATCTATTGTTTGGCCACACTTGCGATTGGGGGACCCAAATAATTCTTGCACCAGGTCCCTCTCTACTTTAGTTCTGCTACTGCATTGGGGAGTGGAGGACGTGATTGCATGTCAGGGAGTGGGGGACATCTTGCCTTTATTGTATTTCTCAAGGTTTCAAGAGATACTTACTTATTAGACAAGTGGAAAGTCATAGTGGTATGGCAACTTACAATTCTAGCCCAAATATTCTGCCTTTCTGGATTTTACTGAAATCTTACAGTGCTCCATTTTTTCATAAATCCCCACTGTAGTTAGCTGAGAATGTGTTTTCTCAACCATCCTTTGTTGGATGGATCAAATCTATTTTTCTGAAAGGTTACATTTGATGCTTGACAGTTTTTAATGAATCCTAATTTTACAGCAAGTATTCAGTAACAAACTTAGTCTCTGTTTTGGCAGCTGTAAGGGATTTCCCCTGATTCTGCCAACATATTTGACAAGCTTCCAGAAATTCCTTGGGCACAATCATTTCTTAAGCATTCCCTGTGAAAGTATGAAAAGTATTGAGATTAACATAGTTTGGGATTTTGTTTTCTGAGTATTCACTATAATTATAGTGTGGTGGCGAAATGCATGGAAGTATGGCATTCATTTTAATAGCCATTTTATAGAACAAAAAACTTTGTTTAGAGCTGTACAGAACATGTAGTTGTCACGAAAATGGCAAGTTACTTATTTCTATGTCAAATAACAAAAGAACTGGGGTGTGATTTTATATAGATGACTGACAGAGTGGAGTTCTAAATTGCAGTCACTGTATACATTAAATTTAATCCACTTGTTCTTTTCGCTTAGAGGCTAAAATTAAAGGCAACAAGCTCGGATAGGTTAATGCTCAAAGTAAAGACATGGCAGAATTAATCAAATCACCCTAAGTGTAAATTTTTTTTTAAAAACACATCTTTGCAGCCTGCGTGTGCATTGATGAAAAATTATAAAATTATGTACAGCACTTCTAAAGGTAGCAAGTCCAAGTCATGAGACATGAGATAATACTCTTTTGGTTCATAAAATACTATTGTATTTTTGTCCAATGTGATGTTAATGCTTAATTGGAAAGGCATAATATTGCCATAGTATGGCAGCTTAGTCTGACCAATATATTCTACTGGCAGCTTACAGTGATTGAAGTGTTCTAAATGAATTCCTTTTGAATTCTTGTGTTGTGTTATGTACACACGCCTTCTTTCATTTACAAAGTTGGAGCAGTTCGGTCACAAAGAATAGACCAAGAGGATGATTAGATGTCATGAAATGGGCTATACAATTTCCCTATGAAAGCAAATTCATTAAAGTAGCACTATATGGTCAGGAACACAAACATGTATTCCTGACCCTATACGGTTAAAACCACCATCTAGCCCCCTTGATCCCCTCATGCAGCCCTAAATATAGCAAATCTTACTTGTATTCAAGGCTGAAGCTCCTTGCTTTGTCACTGTTTCCTTTTGACCTGCCCACTGCCTGCTGACATCACCAGAAGTGGTAGCCTGATCCAAGCACAATGCTTCCCCATAGGATTGGCTGAGACTGACAAAGAGGCAGAGCCAGCATGATTCAAACACAGCCCTGGCCAATCAGCATCTCCTCATAGAGATGAATTCAATCAATGAATCTCTATGAGGAAAGTTCAGTGTCTGCATGCAGAGGGAGGAGATACTGAATGTTTGGATGCATTTTAGGCAGCCATGACCCAGGAAGGATCTCTAACACTATCTGAGGAGTGGCCGGTGAAGTTATCACTAGGCTATAATGTAAACACTGCATTGTCTCTGAAAATACAATGTTTACAGCAAAAAGCCTAAAGGTAACGATTCTACTCACCAAAACAAATCAATAAGCTGTAGTTGTTCTGGTGACTATCGTGTCCCTTTAAATTCTACAGTGATGTTTAAACTGCCACCTTGGGTAGGACAATAGCCTCCTAAAAATTCCGTAGCATAATTCAAGAGCATATCGAGATCAAGAAATATCTCCCATTGAGAGGTCAGAAAAGATATCATATTAAAAGTAAATATTCACTGCCAATATGGTTAAATCTGAGGAAAGTCCAAAGAACAGCGCAAAGTTGGTGAGAATTTTAAAGATGAGTTTATGGAATCTATTGTGAAATTCAGGTTTACTATTAGTGGCAAATTATGTTCAGTCTGATATTTAACAGTTTCTGATTTTCATATATGTTAAGCATGTAAAGAACAAAAAAAAAAGTATACATTTTGTGACAGACCCATCCGTATGGACTAAAAGTACTGTGTTCGTCTGTTTTGCCGGTTGCATGAATTCCCCCATTCGTATGCTTTGTTTAAGGGAATGTCGTTTTTTGTCGAACGAAACTACCGAATGGACGGCCACCCAGAAGAGAAGTGTGCTGCTGGTTAACCTATTGATCCCAATTAGAATGTTGCGGTTAACCACAGACACTTCTCAATTAAAACCGAATACCGGCTGGTCGTCGTTCGTATGTCGACCACGAGGCGGCGGCCATTTTAACCATGCGAAAGACCAGCGGTGTTCGACGGTTATTTCATGGAACTGAAAACGGACACTTTTTCAACCGAACACCGCTGAAGCCGTCGACCTCCCCTTCTCAATCGACAAAAGCATACGAATGCCGGCCGTTCGGGAGATTCAACAACACGAATGGACTTAACCCAGATAGCCGTCCCATGGAGTCAATCGCATACCGAAGAACTGTAATAGACTTTGACTCCATGGCGATTGAACTATGCGAATGGGATCTGAGCGCTATTCGCCAATAATATGCCCTCAGATCCAGGCTATCTGGGGATGTGTTACACGAATGCAATATGTTCGGCAGTTATAAAGTTATAGATTTTTATGTGTTTTATGACTTGTATTTAAAATGGCGATTTGCCTCTGCTCTGGGAGATAATTGAATTACTTCCCAATTATCTCCCGAGCAGAGGGGAGGGAACTGTGATGCATGCTGGGAATATTGTGGGGATGTATGTCCAAAATGTCCCCATGTCCTTCTGTCCTTTCAGTCTCCCATTTGGTCCCCTAGGGGAGTGTCCACCAAGTGGGAGACCTGCATAAATACCGGGCAGGTAGCCCACAGTAAATCAGTTCGTGTTTTACCTTCAAAGCGGAGCTTGGTCTCGTTATTGGGGGGATTTTATTACCAGCGCTTAGAGACTGCTTATTGGAATTATTTGCCGCTTGGAAGATATTGGCGTTCGGCTAATATTGGCAGTTCGTGGATTTGGAGCTCGTGAAGGGAAAGAGCCGTACAGGTACCGTTCGGGAGTTTGGAGTGTTCCCTAACTGGCGGTTCGCATGGTTTTACTATACACGCTACCAGACCACATTATTGCGAACGGGGAGCATTCACTAAACGGCGGTTTGTGCACTTTATTACTGGAGGTACCGTAACACATTTTATATCAGGAGAGGATTGTTAAGTTGCACTCTAAAAAAATAAAAGGACCTTGTTACCTCCTAATGTGTAATTTTGTTGTTAGCTTGTTGTAAGGAGATTTTCATTTTCTTATAGACCGACTATACCTGACTCGACTATATGTCATGATATCAGCTTTGTAAACTTTAGAACATTTTGAAGAGAGGAAGTTTAAAGTTAGTTTATGTCTGTGTTTACATGGGACAAGGAGAAACTAAACCATTGGGGTTTCTGAGGGTGTGGGTGTTTAGTGGCTAAAGCCCCAGTTGTGAGCCTGTTTAAACCAAGATTTCCACAGTTGGTAGAGGGGTAAGTGGATATTAGCGTTATTTGTTGTTTTTCTCTTATACAAGGCCGCTACTCTTTAAAGCAGCCACTTACTATAAAAAGAAAGATCAGTAGTAAAGTGATATATCAGGCTTGGGTTGGTGGTTGTCCCAGTTGCAACAGCACACTGTTCATAAGTAGAGAGGAAGTGACACAACATAGAGATAGGAAAATGTCATGGCATATCCTTTTATTTCTCATTCCACATTATGGGCCACTTACAAAGTAGTAATGAGAGGTTGCTTCATCAAAATTGAAAACCAGTCAAATAAATAAGGGGTAACGAACTTGCTGATTTATATGTATCATTTTTTTAACTTTCAAATTTAAATAAAATTCAACCTGCTAAGCAGAACAGGATAAAGCTATCTGAACTCCAGAAAAAAATTAATTTAAAAATAGAGGATAAGATCAAAAAAACTTTAAATAAACTAAGATCAAATGCGTCTTATCAAGGTAATAGAGCAAGTAAGAGCTTAACAAAAAAACTTAAAGGGACACTATAGTCACCTGAACAACTTTAGCTTAATGAAGCAGTTTTGGTGTATAGAACATGCCCCTGCAGCCTCACTGCTCAATCCTATGCCATTTAAGAGTTAAATCCCTTTGTTTATGAACCCTAGTCACTCCTCCCTGCATGTGACTTGCACAGCCTTCCATAAACACTTCCTGTAATGAGAGCCCTATATAGGCTTTCTTTATTGCAAGTTCTGTTTAATTAAGATTTTCTTATCCCTTGCTATGTTAATAGCTTGCTAGACCCTGCAAGAGCCTCCTGTATGTGATTAAACTTCAATTTAGAGATTGAGATACAATTATTTAAGGTAAATTACATCTGTTTGAAAGTGAAACTAGTTTTTGTTTTTTTAGTGCAGGCTCTCTCAATCATAGCCATAGCCGTGTGGCTAGGGCTGTATAAACAGAAACAAAGTGATTTAACTCCTAAATGACAGTGAATTGAGCAGTGGAATTGCAGGGGAATGATCTAGACACTAAAACCGCTTTATTTAGCTAAAGTAATTTAGGTGACTATAGTGTTCCTTTAAGAAGCAAACAGTGAGTAACAGGATAAACAAACTGATTGTTGACAAAAATATATACTCTTCCCCTAAAACAATTGGTAAAAAATTCAATGAATATTATAGTAATTTATACAATATTGCACTGAATCCTGAAAGAGATAAAATAATGGGATATTTAGCAGACACTAATATTCCTAAACTATCTAATTTGGATTTAACTGCTCTAAATACCAAGTTTAAAGTTGAAGAAGTAGAAAGAGAAATAGAGAAAGAATAAAACATATAATGATAAAAATAATCCATCCTGACCAAGTAGGTTTCATTCCAGGAAGATCTGCCAAAAACTGTACCAGAAAAATTCTAGATGTTCTGGAACAATCAGATAATCTTAAACTTCCTCTGCTGACCCTGTCATTAGATGCGGAGAAAGCATTTGACAGGGTCAGCTGGAATTTTCTGGATATAGTTTTAAATGTCTTCGGACTTAAAGGATGGATTCACAATGCTATTATGGCATTGTACTTGGAACTTACACCTAGAACAGTAGGTGCTAATATTTCTGCAGGATGGTTTTACCTACACAATGAAACTAGGCAGGGATGCCCTCTCCCCCCTCCCCTTCTTTATGTTTTATCGATAGAGTCTCTGGCAATTAATATTAGAGCAATTAAAAATATAAAAGGATTTTCTACTAAAAAATAGAATAAAAAATCTCCTTTTATGCTGATGATATTTTGCTGTCATTAACCCCTTAAGGATTATTATTGTTGTAATACATTTTACTGTTTTGAAATACTAATATTTGTGTTAGTGAAGTCTTCTGAGTAAAACAGTACCCCCCATGTACAGGTTTTATGGTGACTTGGAAAGTTACAGGGTTAAATATAGTGCTAACAAATTAAATTCCCTGGAGTTTTAGCCTGGGTTGTCAGGCAGGTCCCTCAAATTGTAATTAATAAAATGACCTAATTATGTAAAATTATTACATAAATATATACGTAGAATTATTATATATACGTGTGTATATATATATATATGTATATATATATATACATATATTTATATATATAATTTTTTAAAATTATTTTTATTTATATATAGGTGTATATATAGTGATATTTTGTTCTACATGTATCTTGATATCAATATATTTATATATATATATATATATATATATATATATATATATATTAATTTTAAAATACAGTTAGGATGAAATTACACATATATATTTTTTATTTATTTTTTATGTATTTACATATTTATTTATTTTATTTTATATATAAATATATATAATGCTAATTTTATATATATATATATATATATATATATTTAATCAGTATCATTCTACATGTACTTTGATATTAATATATAAATAATTATATATATATTAATATTAAAATAGACTTCGACATATATATATATATATGTGTATATGTATATATATATACTTAGATTATATATATAAAAAATATATATATGATCTAAGTATATTTAATTTCATTTTACACTGTTTTAAGCAATTTTAATTTTTTTTTCAGGCAGCAGGGGGAGTACCTTGCATTACAGACATCCCCCCTGCTGTCACTGACTGGCTATGCCGTCCATGTGATCGTGAGGTCCTCGCAAGAACCTCGGGATCACATGGCCCAGGGGGGCCGAAGATGAAGGAGGGGGACTCCCTGGGCTCCCAGGTAAGTCTCCACACCGCGATTACCAGCGTGGGATTGCTAGTGACCGGGTGAGTACATAGGATTGCGGCGACGTGCTATGTCACCACCGGCGTTTAGAGCCAGGTCCCTAAGTCACCATAAAACCTGTACATGGGGGGTACAGTTTTACTCAGAAGACTTCACTAAACACAAATATTAGTATTTCAAAACAGTAAAATGTATTACAACAATGATATTGTCAGTGAAAGTGACATTTTTTGCATATTTCACACACACATGCCACTTACACACTAATATTTGTGTTCAGTGAAGTCTCCTGAGTATAACAGTACCTCTCATGTACAGGTTTTATGTTTTTTTCAAAAGTTACAGAGTCAAAGATAAGGCTTGCGTTTCAGTCTTTTCACATTGAATTTCGCCAGATTGGTTACGTTGCCTTTGAGATCGTATGGTAGGCCAGGAATGAGAATTACCCCCGTGATGGCATACCATTTGCAAAAGTAGACAATAGAGATGTTGCGAACCGTTCGCGAACTTCCCGCTAACGGCTCGCCACGGTTCGCCCTGAACCGTTCGTGGCGAGCTCCGGTCAGCTGACACATCCCGGCCAATCTCCAGCAGACCCTCCCTCCCAGACCCTCTCACCTCCTGGACAGCATCCATGTTGAAGGCAGCTGGATGCTGTCCAGGAGGTGGGAGGGTCTGGGAGGGAGGAACGGTTCGCGACATCTCTAGTAGACAACCCAACGTATTGCAAATGGGATATGTCCAGTCTTTTTTAGTAGCCACTTAATCACAAACACTGGCCAAAATTGTCATTCAAATTAGTTTTTTGCATTTTTCGCACACAAACAAATATTAATGCTAACTTTGGCCAGTGTTTGTGACCAAGTGGCTACTAAAAAAGACTGGACATACCCCATTTGCAATACATTGGGTTGTCTACTTTTGCAAATGGCATGCCATCGTGGGGGTAATTCTCATTCCTGGGCTACCATTTGGTCTCAAAGGCAACGTAAAAAATCTGGCAAATTTCAATGTGAAAAAACTGAAAAATGTAACATGCTCCATTTGACCATGTAACTTCCCACAACACCATAAAACCTGTACATAGGGGTAATGTTTTATACATGAGACATTGCTGAATACAAATGCGTATTTTATTGCAGTAAAAGCAAACAGTATTATGACATTCACATTTTTTTTCAATTCTTATTTTCTCCCACTTTTTAATATTTTATTCATATTAAATTATGCTTCATACCTAAATATTTGATGTTAAATCAAAGCCCTGTTTCCTCCGAATAAAATTATATATAAGTGTGGGTGCACATAATATGAAAGAGGCGAATTACACCTGAACAGACATATAGCACACATTCAACTATTTGTTTACTTTTTTTTGATCACGTCTACATTTGGCTCAGTCCTTAAGGGGTTAACATCTCCAGAATTGTCTCTTCCCTGCTTGATCCATGAAACAAAAAAAATATAGTGAAGTGTCAAATTATAAATTAAATGTATCAAAATCAATTGCTTTAATTAAAAATATAAATAATGCTATTATCAAAGATCTTAGGGAAAAATATATTTTTGCCTGGACAACAAATTAATTTAAATATCTAGGAGTAATAATTTCAGCCCAGATTGAGAATACAATGGGAATAAATGTTCTCAGCCTAATAAGATAAACCAACAAGTCTTTAAAAGAATGGCGACTACTATAATCTTCCTGGAGAGGTAGGATCAATACGATAAATGCTTACTTTATCCCAAAATGGTCCTACTTGTTCAGGATGTTACCATTCCGAATGCCAGATAGTTGATTAAGTATGATACAATCCAGTTTTCAGGCATATATTTGGAAGGGTAAAAAACCTAGAATAAGCTCTATGGTTTTTTCGAGGAGATATAAACAAGGGGGTTTAAGTTACCCAGATATAAAACAATGTTATTCTACCAAAATAATTGGTCATGTATATAAGTTACAATACGATACCGTATATACTCGAGTATAAGACGAGTTTTTCGGCACGTTTTTGGTGCTGAAAACCCCCCACTCATCTTACATTGCCATAATACAGACAAGGACCGCCGGGCTCATTACAAGCCCGGTGGTCCTGTTGGGGGCTGGCAGGAATAATTTACTTACCTTTCCTGCAGCTCCTGTCAGCTCCCTTCTCTCTCCTCCGGTCCGGTCAGCTCCCCTGTCAGCTTCACTGTAAGTTTCGCGAGAGCCGCGGGGTCAGAGCGTTGCCACAGGTTACCGTGGCAACGCTCCACGCGGCACTCAGACCGCGAGACTTACAGGGGAGCTGACAGGGTAGCTGACCGGACCGGAGGAGAGAGATGGGAGCTGACAGGAGCTGCAGGAAAGGTAAGTAAACGCTTCCTACCAGCCCCCTCCAACACAGTGCACACCACTGGACCACCAGGGAATGAGAGCACACACACACACACACACTGCATTCATTATATACACACACTGTAAATAAATATTCAATTAATATAGTTTTTTGGGGATCTAATTTTATTTAGAAATTTACCAGTAGCTGCTGCATTTCCCACCCTAGTCTTATACTCAAGTCAATAAGTTTTCCCAGTTTTTGGGGGTAAAATTAGGGGTCTCGACTTATATTCGGGTCGACTGTAAGTGAAGAATATACAGGGAGATATAAAAGACTATCAAGGGACAGGTTATGACATTAGCAACTGAGGAAGCCTATAATACAGGCGAAACGCGTCTTGCTACCCCAAAGTGGACTTTTTTACTTAGCCACCTCGAGTAGTTTGTCCTATCTGGGAAATTTTTGAAGCCGGCCAATGTAATTTACCCCCATCAAACCATATATTTTTGAAAAGTAGACAACTCAGGGTATTCAATATGGAGTTTGTCCAGTCTTTTTTAGTAGCCACTTCTCAAACATGTTGCATTTATATTTGTTTGTGTGCTAAAAATGAAAGAACAATTATGAATGCTAACTTTGGCCAGTGTTTGTGACTACTATAAAAGACTGAACATACCCCATTTGCAATACCTTGGGCTGTCTTCTTTTGCAAATGGTATGCCATAATGGGGGTAATTCTCATTCCTGGGCTACCATACGCTCTCAAAGGCAACATAACCAATCTGGTAATTTTCAATATGAAAAAATGGCGTTATATTTGACCCTGTAACTTTCAAAAACACTATAAAATCTGCACATGGTGGGTACTATTATATGAGAGAGACTTTGCTGAACACAAATATTAGTGTTTCAAAACAGTAAAACACATTACAACAATATCATCAGTAAAAGTGCTGTTTGTGTGTGTAAAATGCAAAAAACATCACTTTCACTGACAATATCATAGCAGTGATGTGTTTTACTGTTTTGAAACACTAATATTTATGTTCAGCGAAGTCTACCGAGTAAAACAGTACTCCTTAATGGCATTAGGATATTACATGCAGTACTTCATAGACGGGGCTTTAAAATTGTTAGGATGGTCGGAACATCCAATTTCTTTTGTGTGAGCAGGGTTCAACCCCTACTCACATAAAGAGACAAAAAGTTTCAATTAACACCCG